CCCGCCAAGCCCGCTAAGCGCGCAAGACCGGCTAAAGCCGCTGAGCTTTCACATTAGTCCAACAGTGAAGGGTTCCATCTTTCAATTTTAGCCGCCGTGTACCGTCGTGTAGACATTCTCCGAAAATTTGACCACGCAGGTGGGTGTTCTGCATGCCGCTGGTGTGCGTGGGCACTAATGTAGCATTAGCAGTAGTAGTACGATGAGTAGTCGTCGTCGTAGTGGTAGTAGTAGCAGTAGCAGTAGCAGTAGCAGTAGCAGTAGCAGTAGCAGTAGTAGTAGCAGCAGCAGGAGTAGTAGTAGTAGTAGTACTACTACTACTACTAGTACCACGCGCGTGCATATGCGACCGCGGAATGTTCTACACTTTCTGCGGAAATAGATGTATTATAACAAATTCTAGACAACAAATCCACACAATTTACAGCCAGATGCGCGTACCGTGGAGTAATAGTAATATTCAGTAAGGCAATATCCCCTCGTGTACACGAGCACCTCAAGCAATAATAACTATCATGTTCGACGGCCATGTAGCAGCCACGAAAAAGGTTATGTTCGCTTGCGTTTGATGACTAGAGTATACATGCCGAGAGCATAATAACATTCATGTTGGACTGCATCCGATGACTAAAATATTTACGTCCGAACCATTATAACGTTTATATTCGTTTGCATCTGATGATTAGAACATCCATGCTTAAATAGGAGGGAACATCCACGCCCAAAACATGAAAGTGTTCTTATTCGATTGTATCGGACCCAAAGCATAATAAGGTTTATGTTTGATTGCATCTGATGACTAGAATATCGATGCCCAAATCATGATAGCATTCATGTTCGACTGCATCTGATGACCAGAACATCTATGCCCGAATCGAACGGAGTACCCATGCCGAAACCATGCTAATATTCATATTCGACTCCATCCGGTGACTAGAGTATCTATACCCAAACCATAATAAGAATCATATTTGATTGTATCCGATGACTAGAGCATCCACTCCTAAACCATAATATTATTCATATTGGACTGCATCCGATGACTAAAGCATTCACGCCCAAACCATTATAACATTCATGTTCATCTGCGTCCGATGACCAGAGCATCCATACCCGAATGGGACGGAGTATCCATGCCCAAAGCATGATAGCGTTCCATAATAGCGTTCATGATCGCATATTCGACTACATCCGGCGAGCAGAGTAACCATGCCCAAACCATAATAACGTTCATGTTGGACTGCAGCCGGTGACCAGAACATCCATGCCCATACCATAATAACGTTCATGTTTGACTGCGTTCGGCGACCAGAGCATCCATGCCCAAACCATAATAATGATCATATTTGACTGCATCCGGTGACCAGAGCATCTATGCCATACCATAATAACCGTCATATTTGACTGCATCCGGGGACCAGAGCATCCATCTCATACCATACTAATCTTCATGTTCGAATGCGTCCGATGACCAAAACATCTATGCCCAAACCATAATAACGTTCATCTTCGACTATGGTCCAGGATTTAGGGTTTTGGGTTCAGGGTTTGCTTACGGCGGCTTCGGATCTGGAGTTGAAACTCTACGGATTCGGGATCTCCAAGGGAGTGAAGAGTGCTGAAGCCTGTTTCGTAAACAGATCTATTGGACTAGTAGCGGTTTAGCAGAGTGACAATTAATATCATATCTAGGTATTCATCTCCTTTGAGTGCCCCATCAATGCAAGTACGTGAGGAATTCTATTATCGCTTTTAGTCGCCCTATTGGTCCAACCCATTCGTCCGCGGACGCGAGGAGTTTTGATTTTCGGGCTTAGGGCCCCATCTGTCCAAGGTATATCCCATGAGTGCAAGGGTGGGAGGAGTTGGACGACGACTCCTAGTTTCTCCATTAGCCCGAGGTACGCTCCATTAATTACTCCACAAATGCGAAGATTTCTGATTTAGATTTTGGCCGTCTCATTTGTCTATGGTGCCTCATGCGTTGACTTCAGGTTTACATCCGTGTAGTCGTCCCGCGAGTCCAGGAGCGCCAGGAGCTTCAATTTGATTGTAATCGCCCGAATAGTCCAGAGCGTGCCCCATGACCCCAAAAAGGTGAAGAGTGCTCCCGCATGCTAAGTCCTCCTATTAGACCGGCACAACCCCATTAGTCCAGGGCGCGCCTCATGCGATAAGCAGTGTGCGGAGTTCGGATATAAGTTTTTAGTCATTTTAGTCATTTCTAGTCATCCCATTCGTCGAAAGTGCGCGCCCCACTAGTCCAAGGGCATGCGGAATTATGATTCGAATCTGGAGTCGTCCCGTCAGTCTAGGGGGCATACCGGTTGATCAAAGGCATGGAGTTAATTTTTTCTCGCCCAAGTGGTCCTAGGGGCACCCCGTTATTCTGAGGCAATGAGGAGTTCTGATTTTAACATTTAAGCGTCTTCTTTCTTCGTCCAAGATGCGCCCCATGAATCCAAGGACGGAAAGAATTCTCGTATCAATTCGCCATTGCCCCATTAGCCCAAAGCACGCTCGTCCGCGGCACTAATGAATTTCAGCGTGCTCCGGTGCACAGGAATTTCAATGCAGTTCTGCGGCTTATGACGGCAGTGCAGTGGCGAAATGCTCCACTTTCAGCGCATGCACGAATATCAGCGAATCTTTAGCGCATGCTCGATTCTCAGCGCATTCCACGCACGCACGAATTTCAGCGCATTCCGGCGCGCGCCCGGATTTCAGCGCAGTCCAACGCACGCCCGAGTTTGAGCGCATTCCGGCGCACGCCCGAATTCCAGCGCATTCCAGCGCACGCCGGAATTTCAGCGCATTCCAGCGCA